AGGAACATATTTTATCTAAAAGGACAAGTAGAAAAGCAGATGGAGTAATAGACATTTGCTCATTTTTCATTTCTACTGTACATATACTATTGTTTTTATATCTTGATAATAATATTAATTAATAATTTATATTAATCTCTCGTTCACGTAATAATCTTTTCTTTTTTTCAAAAGAGTATATTATGTTTATGATTATCGGTCAAAATGGCCCCCGGTCGTTGAAGTGATATCCTAAAAGAGGAATCTTCTGGTTAGTGAATGCAACCGTTAGATTACAATATTGAACCAAATAATTATGAAAAAAAATATTCTTACGTTGTTGGAGATGTATTATTTTATATCACAAAAATAAATATATGGAGTTCATCTTTTATAAAAAAAAAAAATTAAAAAAAATTCACATATTTATCTTTATAACTTGAAACAAAATTTCAATAATTATCCAGCAATTTTGTTTTAAAAGTAAAAAGTTAAAATAATTAAAGAATTCATTAATAAAATGAAATGGGTATCATGGAGATCCACGCAGAATCGCCTGTGAAGCCAAGTGGAAATGTGGTTAGATGGGCCATTTTATTCGCTTAACCAAACACATGTTGGACAGTTTGGTTTGGATTCTCTTCCCTTTCTCTTTATTTGATTCTAATGCTGTCTTCCCAAATCCACATTTTATTTGATTGAAAGGTTACTCTCACTCATGTCATGCGTCACCATCCATGTTTTGTTTTGTTTTTGTTTTTTTTCTTCTATTCAATCTTTCAAGTTTCATCTCGCAGTCCCTACCTTTCTCTTATATTCAAGTCCCAGATGCTTAGAAAACAAGGTCACTGTGTCACTTGATCCTATCTTCCTACTTCCTAGCCGTTAATATCAGTACCATCCTTCCAAAATCCAAATAATATTTCATAAATCTCACACAAACATAAAAAATAATAAACCCTCAAATTTTACCATAATCTTTTTATGGCATAAAAAATCGAACACATTTTATTTAAAGTGATTTTATTAGGTATATTTAATTTTTTTTTACTATAACATAGGATATGAGGAAGTTCAAGAAAATCATCATCCAGAGAGAACTTTCAGTCTTCAGAAGCACATGTCTTCCATTAAAAATGTGACACTTTCGTTTAAGGAGAGATCATTAATGATTTTCACATTCATATTCATATTGAGCTTTTATATTGTGATTTTCGTAAGGTATTCTCACTCAACTATCTCGAGTCACTTTGATATCTGAGTTAGCTTAATAGATGGTGTATTATATAGGAAGCAGGATGAGACAATCTCCTATCAAAATTTGAAGTGGAAAATTTTAGACTCTAATCCTAAAATGTCTTTCTAGTGATCAAATATAAGGTTTTTATTTTTTTTATTACTTAGGATATTTATCACCAATCCCGAAATACTTCTCCTAGAAATGACACTAATATAGCTCTAACATGTTAGTTGAGCGGAAAAGTCACACAAAACTTGTCTGGCTTTTTCACCCTTTTGTCCCTTATTAATTAATTAATAACTATTTTGCCCCTGATTCGAAACTATCTATCAATCTGCCCCTCTTTAATCGACTACCTTGCATTTTTAATCGACTAAACGGTTGTTGGGAGATCTAATCGACTAAATCTCTCTACTTAATCGATTAAAATCATACTGACTTATTTTTTTTTTTGTAAAATATGAAGATTTAGTCGACTAAATAGGGAGATTTAGTCGATTAAAAATGCAAAGTAGTCGACTAAAGAGGGGCAGATTGATAAATAGTTTCGAATCAGGGACAAAATGGTTATTAATTAATTAATAAGGGGTAAAAGGGTGAAAAAGCCAAACTTGTCTACCAAAGGTAAAGAAAGGAGGAAGTTTTCATTACTGTATAATGCAAAGAATTAATAAGGTACTTTCAAAGTCAGTATTATATGTTATAACAAAGGGAGAAGTATACTGTTATTCTACATTGATTTTGACATTTGTTGAGTTGAATAAACAAGTGCAAACAAACAGATTAGGGGAACATCATGCCTCACATCGCATGCTTGGAACCACAAAATGTTTTGCGGCATAGCGTAGTACACGTCCAAAACAATCATTGGTCCGTATCAGTTAATTTCATAATTTGTACAATGAAAAAAGTATTACTTATATAGTTTTCAAGAAAGCATTTGTATATAATGAGTAAGCATCCTAAAATATACGGATATTTTTAATTAATTCAAGTAAAACTTAAAAAGTATAGATTAATTTTTTTAAATTATAAAAATATATGCATAACTAATTAAACAATTTGATATGTGTCATTTTTTCAATAGATTGATTTAATATTTAAAATAAAATTTTGTAATTTAAGAAAAGTATATTGTTCAAAGAACTGAAAAAATAAGCTAAATATTAATAAAATGTATTATTAACATTTGACATTAATTTAATTACTGTCTCGAATCATAAAAAAAAAAATCAGTATTTTATCTTTCAGTGATGGGAAATTTATAATTCTAAATTAAAAATAATAATAACTAAGCATTAAAACTTATAAAAACATAAAACTTCGTGACTTTTTTATATTTTAACTTGTCAGCCCTAACCGAACTTATCCAGTCTTGATCGAATTTGTTAGATTCATGTAGACTAAAGAGTTTTTTTTTTTTTTTTTTTTGGTATAGGACTAAAAAAGTTTTTAAAAATCAAATCCTTTCTTTTTGTTTTACCTTAACTCCTAATCAAACGGAATCATACATACTCCTATGTAAAACGCCTAAGATTGCTTCTACTCGCATTTTTTTTTTTCTATACTCTTGGCATATTCAATATTTTTAAATTTAATTTATACTAATATTATATATACAAATATTATATATATATATATATATATATATATATTCACATCGATAGATGATCAAATTTAAATTATGTAATAATTTAATAATGTACAATTGTATTATGATCGGTGTTTTAAAATTCCACCCCGCCTCCCGGGTTGACCCGGGTCAACCCTGACCCCTCTCCTCTGAGGGTTGGGGTCACAAGTTGAACCTTATATGCATATCGACCCCTCCGACCTCCAAAATTCGGCCGGGTTTCAATGACTCCCGGGTCAGAGGGGTCAAAGGGGGTCACTGCATTTTTTTTAAAAAAAAAAATTCCATAAAACAACATCGTTTTATTAAAAAAATAAAATAAAAATGCTTGTAAACCTAAATCTAATCATTATCTTCTCTCCCAGCGACCTAGACGTCTTCAATCTTCACCTCGCTGCTGTGAATCTTCTAGAAAAAGTAAGAATTTTACCCATTCAAATGAAATCCTTACAGTCGTCGATGGAAAACAAAAACTCTTTCTTACTTCCTTTAAATTTTTCTTTGTTAGGGACCTTCTCAAAAGAGGCAGAACCGGGTGAGCGTAGTGACCCCATTAGAATATGAGTTTTGTACTTTAATTAGGTTGTGTAATATTGACTTGTGGTTGTAATTAGTTAATTATGTTAAGTATATTTTGAATCTTTGATGATGAGCGATTTATTTTTAATATTTTCATATAAGATATATATATTTATATTTTTTAATATATAAAACCGGGTCAGCGTAGTGACCTTGTGACCCTCCGGTTGAACTCGTGACCCCTGACCTTGCCCGAGTCGATGGCCGGGCCGAGTTTTTAAACACTGATTATGATAATAAAAAATTACAATGACCAATAAATCAGAATTACATTCTTAAAAAATAGTCACACAAAAAACACTTCGCAAAGAAAAAAAAATTTATGATGAAAGCGCAACTTGGCGATGGGTTATTAAATTGACTGTCTGAAAATTAAGTGTAGCCACGCTAAAAGCGCGAATATAGGGACCAGTTGTACCTTTGGGAAACCAATGAACCACATTAAAAGTTTACCAATAAATGCAACAAAGAGAAACATGCATTTCATTTAGATATGTTTCTTGGCATTGGCAACTTAACCCGCACAAGTGCACAACTCAATCACAATCACTGCTCGCGGGGAATATTTCAGTCCAAGATATCCTTTGGTTATTTTCTTTAGTTTATTTATACCTAATATAAATAGGGCTTGATATATTTATCACCAAATTTTTTTATTATTTTTATAATCAATTTAATCACCGTTGATTTTCATCAATCTAATAGTTATAATTTATTGAAAATTAATAATTAATTAATAAATGCGACATAATAATTTTCGATAAATTATAACCATTAGATTAACGAAAATCAACAGTGATTAAGTTGGTTATAAGATGATAATTTTTTTTAATAATAAGTATATCCTTCCCCAATATAAATTTGTAAATAAATTTTACTGAATTTTCATGTAGCTGTTGATGCAGCTGTAAATTACACACTTATTATTTTCTCGGTACAAATAAGTTTAACAAGAAGGATAACTTTTGTTATTTAATTAAGCTTACATTTGTTTTCCTAAATAATTTACTGGCTAAGTATCACCAGTAAAATTCGATCACAACCACACAGATTTTCTTTTTACTTTTATATCGAATAATCTTTTACAGTTTAGCTTCTGACTCAAGTTTCTTAGAAAGAAAGTTAATTATTTATTTCTGTTTTTTAATTTTTTAAATTTAAAAATTAAAATCCAAAGTATCTGAAATAAAAAACATAATTTAAAAAATATAAAAAGAGAAAAAAAAAATTGAATGCCTCTTAAACTAAAATGTAACAAAGTCAATGTACTTAGGTCTTTCAGAACATATCCAATCAAAAACATCCATATCCAATTAATACCCTGTTAAAAATCCTCATATTACCAATAAATACATCGTACCCTATCAAAAGTTCTCATATCATATATTAACAGTGACTGAATCTAGTTCAATTTTGCCCAATGATAAAAAAAAGTAGGTTAACAGGGAGGGAACACAATATCCAATGGTCGAGAGTGGATAATAAACCAAAGATTATTTAGAAAGAAAGCGGAAAATGGATTTGAATGAAGAAAGATACTCTCTTTTTTTTTAAGAAAAAAGAGAGAGCAAAAGCTAATACATGAGCCAAAAATACGTAAAGCGTTGCCGTGTGCAATTACTTTAATATTAATGTTGGCTTAATTCAACTACCATTATTGCTATTAACGGTAGTCAGCAGCACTGCAGCAGTGAACTCAAAAGGAACATAAAAAGAAATTATACACCATTTACTACCCATAACCATTTAAGCCAACTCTACTTTGTCATGGTGCTAGTAACAACAAACACAGACAAGGGCTCTAAGGAAGAAACCCATATACCTGAACCTGATATACTTTTATTTTGACCAAACAACTCTACTCTACTCTACTCAAATATTTTCTCATCATGCATTAGTTGGCTCTTTCTCAAGTCTCAACTATGTTCCATCCGAAAGGAGGAATAACTGGGAAAAGAAAATTCAATCATGTAAACATGTAATGAGTTATTTGTATCTTATAACCGTGACTTCACTTGCTCCACCGAGGCACTCTGCAAAAGAGCAGTACAACATCCATTAGAGGGCAATACCAATGGCACATGATGGAATGCTACAATCAGAATTATCTATTGGGAAAGTAATACAATTTGAGTACTAGGACAACGAAAGCTTCTTGAGTTCAAGAAGCAGGCAGTAACATCCATGTTTAAATCCCCCAAACTCCTTATTTTCTGAGGTTGTCTTCGTTGTTTGTCAAAAGGCCTCACTTTAAGCATAATTATAGTTTTAAACTAAAATGTAGATCCATCATACATAGAACGAAGATGTCGTAAAAATAAATCTTTGCATGTGATCTACCCTTTTTATGAAAAAAACTCTCATTTCCGTAGTCAGAAAATTAGTACACTGCCAAGATGAAAAGGTTAGGCCAGAATGAATTAAGGAATATTGTTCTCCAACGAAAAGTACTAAATGAATAGCAGTGCTAGTTAAGTCAATCCTAAAGTGCATAAAATGACTTAAGGATTCAATCATTCAATACCTGGATAATAAGACAAATTAAGGCTTGTTTTCAGAGGAACTTGGTCAATGTATATTATAATTGCTAATAGTTTAAAGCAGTTATTAAAATAAAGGAGCTAATTATTTTAGCCTCTATTCCAATCATTAGTGTAATACAGAACGACAGCACCAAGCATAGTTGTAACAAGACAAATTCCATTAGAAGATCCTGATTTTCTGGGTACAGGTGCAATGTGTTACTGAAGTGCTCCTTGTCTCTAAAAATTAACTTACTGAAAGATCGATCTTTGCTTGAGTTAAAAATGAGCCTAATATTCCAGCAAGATCTACCGTGGGAAAGAACCATTTGAAGACAATCCCACCCCAATGCAAATGACCAAATTGATAATATAGTTGGCTAAACAATCCTAGAACGCATCCTAACAAGACAAATATTTATGCATAAATGAAATGGAAACAAATGAGCTCTAGGTTACTCACCAGAGGAATCCCTTTGGCAGCCCTTGCAGCCAAGTAGGCACAAGGCTTGAAGAATTCTCCATACAATTCTGACCATTTCTCCAATCTTGAGTATATGTATTTGGATCCAAGAGAGTCAGCCCAGAATATGATACCCCCCCTGATGAAATCAGTCCCAAAATTTAGAACAAGTACAAAGTTTTGGGAACTATGCAAAATAACTAACAAGACAAACCTGTAAGGTGGAAAACCCATGCCCATGACAGCTGAAATATCAAGATCTGCTGCTTTGATTGCAATACCTTCATCAAGGACCCGACAAGCCTCATTCACCACAGGAAAGAAGATCATCTCTATGATGTCCTTTTCTGGTAACTTGACAAGCTGCCAAGGTTCAGATCCAAAACATAAGATCCAGTGGAATCAAACATAAAAATCAACTTCAAATTTTTTTTCCTCACAAGCCAATAAGCATGATATGTATTAGGAAGGCTAAAACGACCTTGGGATCAATGGAGACCCCGGAAATTCTCCTAGCCTTCTCAATATAGTTCTTCAATTCAGGATCAGGACTAGCCTTGCGTCTATCGTCATACAAATAAAACCCTCTGCGAGTTGTTTCGCCTGTTAGAAGCATATTTTGAACAAAGATTGTAAGTGAATTATTTAGTAGAAACACACCATGGCATGGGCATTTCATTGTTAAGTAATTATATTCCACATAGATATCTCATCGGAATTCCAACAGATGTAGAGTTAATCATTACCTGCTCTCTTATCCTCTTGCAAAATTGGAATAAGCATTGATTTATAAGTTCGCTCTGGAAAATTCTGAACAAATTGCGAGCCAGTTGCAACCGCCACGCCAAAACCAACGAGGTCAGCCAATCTGTATTAGTAAATAAGTGACAAATTAAACCCTTCAAGAAGTGGTTGTGGATATCAAGAACTTATTCAAGCATCATTACCTCAAAGGCCCCATGGGCATTCCAAATTTGGTTATTACTTTATCAATTTGATAAACATCAGTGCCACGTTCAACAAGCAAGAGAGCTGCTTGTGTATATGGGAAGAACATCCGATTGACAGCGAATCCTGTACAGTTTCCAACCACCACTGGAGTTTTCTTTATCTTTTTTGAAACATCTAGCAAGTCAACTATTACTTGGGGAGATGTCTGCTTGGTACGTACAATTTCCAGAAGTGGCATAACATGTGCAGGACTGCAGAAGCGCAAGTCAAGTTTTCAGTCAGAAAGATACAGCAAGGAAAAAAATTATAGTTTCCAAATACAGGATACCACCTGAAGAAATGGGCTCCAATAATTCGATCCTGAGACTTGGTCTTCTCTCCAATCAGGTTCAAGTCAATTGTGGAAGTGTTACTTGCAAGTATACAATTAGGTGGACAATACTTTTCAAGATCAGCAAAGATTTGTTGCTTTAAGGAAACATTCTCAATAACAGCCTGTCCAGACATCAAATGCCAACAGTTTATGGTTATCCTAATCTTTGGATAACATACAACCATGACAGTCAATTAGCAAATTTATATTGGAGTTCATTATAGCACCTCTATCACCATGTCCACATCTCTAAAGCTTTCATAGTCAAGGGAACCTTTGACAAGAGTGATAGCGTTTTCAAATTTTTCCTGGGTCATTTTACCTTTCTTGATACGGCTCTGTAAATTTGCTGCACAAAGAGGGAAAAAACTACATGAGAATAGCATCACTTATTTCTTAATCGAAGGTGAAGTGTGAGTAGTGACTAGTTAGAACTTAGAACCAATTTACAAGAATTTGTTCTCACCTTTAATCCGATTGATACCAGCATCCAAGAACTTCTGATTTACTTCCTTCAAGATGACAGGATAGTTACTAAGAACTAAAGCTGTTGCTATTCCAGAGCCCATTAGTCCACCACCAAGGATAGCGACCTTTTTCATGTGTCTTGGAGCCAGACCACGATCAGTAACCCCAGGTACCTGTTCATGCCAAGAGGTATTGGGAAATTCATATCTATAGAATTTATACAAAAAGCAAGTACTGAATTAGGCTAGCTAATGCGGGTTCACAATCTTATTTGTCACCATATTACCTTTTGAGGAAACACACTAAAAAAAAATTTAAAACCTCAAGCCAGAAAACACTACTGCTCAAATTTAAAATATGCATTATTGGCACAGATTCAAGATGGGTAAGGATTCACAAATTTCAATGTCTGAAATTCTATAAAAAATTACAGAAATAGAACAAACATGAACATTTTAAAATGAAATACCAATATCTTGACATCAAGCCTAAGCATCGGAACCATTAAGTGAAAAACTAATAAAGTTGCCCAGCCAAACTACAAAGTAGCAACGGTATGAAGATATCTTGTTAAACTACAAATACTCTGTTGTAAATCTGATTATTCGAATAACCTCAGTTTTTACAGAAAACAACATTTCAGTCCTCTCTATCTAATTATCAAACAGCTTATAAAAGGTCCTTCAGAGGAAATAAAGGCCAAATTCAGTCCTTGGCCATAATTCTCCTATATAGTCACTTGGGCTAAGCTCACATGGTTGGGATGGACTGGGGTTAGTGTAGCAGTCATGGACTCAGTCCCATGTATATTCCCTATATATAAAATCTGGCATTTGTGTAACCATAGCTCAATAAGAAGCCAAACTGAGAACTTAAAAACATAGAAGAGCAACTAAGAACCATGTAAAAGTTTAAACTACGTTTTTAAGCTACAATATGAAAGCTTTCTTTTTCGATTAATAAATAATATAGTCTTGCAGAGATATCTTCTCAATCGAATGGGGGGGGGGGGGGGGTGAAATAGGGGTAAAATTAAAACACAAAACAGAAACAAACCTTAGATGTTCCTCTTTGAGCAAAAAATATGTGAACTAAGCTTTTGCAAGTATCTGACTGTACCAGTTCTTCAAATGCTTCAGCTTCCTTCAAAGATCAAACACAATGTCATATACATTTCTGCAACAGCTATATGAAGGGAAAAGAAGTATACTGGAGAAAGATGACAACCTTCCAGAGTCCTGCACGAGGACCAGAAACTATTCCCGCTTCAATAACATCAATGCAAACCAAAGGATGGTTGAGATTAGGAGCCTGTTTTCGAGCCTGAGCTCGTGCAAATTTCAGTATCTCTCTTGCTTCCCCTAGAGGTTCTATTTTGTCAGTCTTGTAAAGACTATAAACCCATGGTCGTCGGCGGTCCAAGATATCCAGAGCCCACTTGCGTGCAGTGTTCACCAACTGATCAGGTGAAACCACACCATCTACAAGCCCCAAGCCAAAAGCTTCCTTCCCTTGAACTGGCTTTGAAGTCTTTATTTTATTTTTATTTTTAAAAAAGCAAGTAGTAAAGAAATTAATTGAAATTCACTGGAAAAGCATGTTTAAGTCACAACTCTCAAATATTTTCCATAAAAAGAAAAATGCAATTCCACTCAAAGTGGAGAACTGAACCAAAAATCTGCTTATGTCCTGTCTAATAAAATTTAAACATAGAACTGTCAATATGCTGTTTGAATGATCACCAAACTGGAGTTTGAATACACCAGCTTTTCAGTTCAGTTCTTCACATTGAACAGAATAGCAAATTTATGAAAAGGAAGCATAAAATGTAGTATACCAGCATAATCTCAAGTGCCTTTGTCAGACCAACAAGACGAGGAAGTCGCTGTGTTCCTAAGACAAATTATGCGGTTAACAATAATAAAGTAAAAAAAAAGGAATAAGAACAAATAGTCAAGAGACACGCAGTCCTACTCATGGTCTAACTTCTCTCTTGTTTTATTACATTTTTTTTTTAATTATTCTAGGCCTACCTAACACAAGAATTAAGTTATTAAACCATGACCTCTGGTATGAACTTTCTGTTAACTAACAAACTCATCAAAAGCATGTTGCTAAAACTAAGGCTTCAAACAAGTTTACTCTGTAACTCATGTCCTCGTCCAATAACAATGATTACAAATACATTTACAAAACAGGATATGCACAAAAAAAGGTCAAATGTATAGAGATACACTACAAACCAAAAGAAGTAATGAATGGAAAATAAATCATACATTTGTTGAAGGTAATCATGACACGCACACCAAAAATTCACCCTGATTTTTCATATTTAACTTAGTACTTAACTCTTTCTGATGCATTGGACCAGAAAAATATCCCTACTAATCATTTCGAATATTGGTAAAATAGCATAAATGATGCCTGAGTGGTGAGATTTCATTTCAAGTTTTTCTTCATTTTCTTCTCGATGCACTCAATTGAAATTCGTACACAAAATATAAGTAAACTTGATGAAAATAGAGAAAAATTAGTCCAATCTACTACCTCCAAATCCAGGAATTATTCCAAGCTGAAGTTCAGGCAAACCTAGTTGAGCAGTTGGGGTTGATATCCGTGCATTGCATGCCTAAACAAGATAGAATTGGTGATATTTTGTAGAAAACTATGAAGAAAAGTCACTTTTCCTAAACAATTAGTAATGCATACCATTGCAACCTCTAATCCCCCACCCAAGGCAAGGCCATCAATGGCAGCAACTGAAGGTTTCCTTGCCGCTGAAAGATAAAGTGAATAGAGTCAGCATTGCACAAAATGACAAATTAATTGCAAATAGAGAATAAAATAAAAAATAAAAAAAGTACCTTCTATAGTATCAGTGATGATTTCTACTGATATCCAACCAGGTTTTGGACGCTCTATATAGGGCGAGGGGGAAGAGTTAGAAAATGAGTATGAACATAACTATAATAGAAAGACCCCAAAAATAAAAAATAAAAAAATGAAAGTACCTTTTGCCTCTTGAGCACCACCAAATGAAGTAATATCAAAACCTCCAGAAAATTTTCCCTTTGCACCTAATAAAGTAACATAAGATTCAACAATGATGCTGCAGCTGTAAGCCAGATGGCCAGGAACCACCTTTGGTGAAGCCCAAAACTAGCCTTATGTTTCATATTCTTTTCTCTCTTTTCCTTCTCTTAGTTCTTTACATTTTGAAATTTTAGTCTTTATCAAAATGTCACAATCATATCGTAGGAGTTGGTATAGTTGAGGAAGACTACTCTATCAGGTTTGAAAGATATCTAGGTCGTTAACGTTTGTATAATAGGACTAGTCAAAACAACTATGAACTGAGGTTGGGTCAAGGAATTCTGAATTCGATCGAGGGTAAATATGTAATTAGATAAGATCCTAAGTTGCGACTTGTTCATTGCTCAAGTGGTCATGGAGGGTGGAGATTTGTGTATAAGGTTATATGCTCAAGTGGTGGATAATTATCACATTCTCCTTTTCTTAATTCAAAGGCTTTAGATTTACATTAGCAAAAGTTTCCCTTTGAACCAGGTTCTCACTTCTCAGAAATTTATTTATTTTCAATTGTCCACTACCAAACCATGCTATTGCTTTCAGCATCAAATCCTACCAAATTACAAAGCCTATATTGTTAAATTGAATAAGCTTAAGTGCTGTCTCTTCCTAATTATTTGAACAATCTCCAAGCATAAAAGCTGCTCAATTCAAAAGCATGTTGCAATACCTGTAACAACAATTGCCTTGACATCATCCCTCTGTAAAGCCTGATCAAAACTCTCCTTTAAACTGCGCAATACTAGAGAGAGAGAGGAAGGCAGATAAGCAACATAGGGTAATCTTAAGTAATAGAAAAACAATGTACGAAGAAAATAGAGAAAGATACTGAAAAATCTGGACAGTGATACATTCAGGTTTAACAGCATACTGTGGTATTATCCTGAATTTCCACACTACACCTGCTCAAATATTTGGTAACGGGAAAGTGAAAGCCACAATGTATTCCAAATTTAGCTTCAGTAGCAATTAAGGACAGAACAAATTGAAATGAACTACAGTTTACTAGCCATGATCAGATAATAGTAGAAATAAAGTGTGAGATACACGCATTCAACTCTACATCCTCTGTGTCATCCCCCTCATTCATCAAATAATAGAATTATACATGGGGATGTAAACGAGCCAAGCCAAGCCGAGCACTTAAAGTTCAAGCTTGGCTTGCAAAAAAAAAAAAAGATGATGCTAATGCTTGACTCATTTATTTAAACAAGCCAAATTTAAAGCCTGGACTTGGCTTCTTTAAAAACATGAATATTGAGCTTAGCTTGTTTAGCTAGTTTCTAGCCTGATTATTTTCTGTCTTTATCAAATCTGTTCTTCAAGTACTTTTAAGTTAATTAACTTAGTATTTAGTAGACATTTTTATGCTAGAAGATGAGGTAAAAATCGGAAGAAAATGGAGTAAAAGAATCTTTGAGCTTAAAAGTTAGGTAATCATAATTCTCTACGTAGAACTACAATCCAATGAGTAATAAAAATATATAAATAAATGGGTTCGCTTTTTCTACGGTCAATGTAAATAACTTATCTACATTGAGTCCAAAACGACGTCGTTTTGAGGCGGAAATCAAGGTATTTTTATAATTATAATTTATTGCAAGGTTATAATAGTTTTTTCATTATAATTTTTTAATTTTTCAATCCAAAACGACGTCGTTTTAGGAGCAAATGTAGGTAACTTATCTATCTACATTCACTGTAGAAACATTAAAGCCTAAATTATTACAATATATATCCCTTTATATACTTATTATTAGTGTAACGTCGATCCTATAAGGCTTGACCTTGACTTATTTAAATAATCAAGCCTAATGTCAAACTTGAGCTTGTTTGTTTAGTAAAACAAATGAGTTTGATCAAGCATTTGACGAGTTGAACTCGAATAATTCACAAATAACTCAACTCATTTACACCCTTATTTTATAAATAAGAGCAAAAAGAAAGAAATGGACAAACAAAAATGCTTCTTGCTTTCGTTGCTACAGGCAAGAAAAAGGGGGTCAGTGTTGGACTTAACATCAAGTCATCTATTAATTGGGTAGCTAATAATCCTTTATGTCACTGCATAATTCCAATCCAGTTCATGACCATCAGAATTTCCATTAGGAAATATTTAAACATAGGTAAATTTCACCTCAGAAACATCAACAATGTTTTTGTTTTTGTTTTTTTTCATTTAAAAATAATAATAATAATCCTGATTATCTTTCTTCAATTATCGATCCTTAGATTCAGTATTCGAGGAAAATTAGAAGATCGAAAAATGGAGTAAAGAAGCAGATCGAAGAAGGGTTGTACCATCAACGGAGAGAGAATTGACAGGAGGGTTGATGATGGTGATGATGGCAACTCCATCAGGTCCAACCTCCATAAGCGTGCGTCCCTTCCCTCTGCTACCCATTATGATAACAGCAGCAAGCAATGGTAATGGAAGTGGAATGCGATTGTTTTGGTTTTCAAAGATTGAACTTCCAAGGAAGAGAAGGTGTCGTGAACGACTATGTCACAGTGACTTTGTAACCATAACTTCGCTATAAACAAGGGAGTTGTATATCATATTATATTTATAGGAATTATTTAATTATATTCACTTCACTACATTAAATTATGCCTATTCTAGTAAAAGTTTTTATACGTTATTTATTTTATTAATTGAATTAAATTTTTTTTCTTAATTAAAATATTTATAATTTATATATTATATTTATATTTAAAATTACCTGCAGAAAGATATTTAGGTGGTGTTTGGTTGGGAGCTTTTCAGCTGAAATCTATGTTTCTCAAGTATGGTTTTTAGAAACACCATGTTTGTTTCAACGTTTTTCATCAAAAACCCATCTATCCAATTTGTCTGGATTTATGAGAAACATAAATATTCGTACTGTTTAGAAACCCAATTTGAAGGTGGGATTTTTCGAAAAATCGATTATCTGACTTTTAATGCACCGTTGATTTTATAAAGTTACCTAATTTTCCCAGTAATATTTTTCCCCACCAAACAACTTTTTTTTACATTTCTCTACCTATCTCACTTTATCTATCTTTTCAATTATTTTTCTATCTATCTCATTTCTCTACTATTCCAAAAAAATTTCATGAAACAAATGCCCCATGGATAATGTATATGATTTTGTCTTGTGTATATCCTACCGCCATTACCCATACTTAGCTCCTCAACTCTACTCGCGCTTCACCGCAGGTAGGGCTGGCAATATGGGCCGGCCCGCCCCGGCCCGCCACTAGCCCGCCCAAAATGGGCTGGCCCGTCCCGGCCCGTTTTGACAAAATGGGTTGAATTGAGTAACCCGGCCCGTTTTATGAGTGGGCTGGCGGGCTACGGGCCAGCCCGCATAAAATAAAAAAAATATAAAAATAAAATACAAAAAATTAAATTCTGCATAAAATCACATAAAAAAATCTGCATAAAAGCATACAAAAATCTGTATAAAATCCTAATGTGCTTATGAAACCAAGAAGATCAGTGTTTAATAATCTGCATATAAATATGCATCTTTCAATCCAAAAATAATAATAAAAAAATAAAATCATATCAGGATAAAATAGAATAACAAAACAAGTAACAAAGTGTTGTATGAGCAGTCCACAACAATTCAAAAAAGCCACTTGCAAGCAGAGAAATCTAAGATACGGAGCTACATAACAATTGGGTAACCTAAAAAAAAAATGACTTGGCGGGCTAGCCCGCCCCGTGGCGGGCTGACCCATATGGGCTGGCGGGTTTGGCGGGGCGGGTTGGGCGGGCTGGTGGGTTGAAAGACTCAACCCAGCCCACCCCATTTGGCAGGCGGGGCGGGCCAGCCCGGCGGGCTCAGCCCATTTTGCCGGCCCTAACCGCAGGTAGGGATAAATGGACTGCACTTTGAGTTTTGAATTAAATAGATTACGCTGTGAATATTGGATCTGGCCTAGGCGGTAGTCTGTACGTCTCAAATTATAACTCTGATTTGTTTTATATTAAAAAATAAAAAATAAAAGTTTTGATCTAAATCTGTTTAAGTCTATTAAACATTCACTAATTAAAAGAACAATTAAAATAATGTTACTTTATTATTCAAAATTATTAAATTAATAATTTTTTTTTTAAAATAAATACTATCATATAGGCCGGTCTATTAGGCTTATAAGTCCGATTTGTACAAAAAAAAACCTATGATCTGTTTTCTAAATAAGTTTTTTTTTAAAGCCTAGACCTATTTTATTTTATTATTTGTAATAGGTCAAACTTGACTTAATATAAGCTAGGCCCCTGTAAGCCGACCTAACTCATTTACACCTCTAAAGTTGCACACTCTCTGTGTGTATAGATTTCCATTTATTTACCAAAAAAAAGTTCATTTTGTTCTTATGTGAACAAATTGCTTTTTGTACAATTACCAGTACAATTATCAATTTAGCAACAATCATATATGTAATGCTAACAATTTTTTAGATGGAATTATTAATATTTGTTTGTAGCTGTAAATATTAAATGTTTGGATAAAACTGAAATTTGAGAAACTTTATATCATGAATTAATGTATCCCAAAAAAATATTGGACCACGGTTTAAATGAAGAAAAACATTTTTTTATATTATGACATATTGTTAAAATTATTAAAATATTATTTTAAAGAGAAATATTTATTATTGTATAATAATATATATTAATTTGTAATTGTTTTTAAATATTCTATTTTGAATAAATGAATTTTTAATATAAACTAATTGCATAATTATTCAAGATTGATAATTTACAATTTAATTATATAAATAAATAATAGCATCAACGACTCAACTGAAATATATTCTAAATAAAATTGACATGGATTAATAATTCGTTAACCCAAACCTGGTCAGTCCTAAATTTTATTCATGCACAAATTCCTGATTTATTATAGATAAAAATATTTATCATTTAAATGACATAATTTTATGTTATTTTAAATAAAATGACAGTAGGTTTACAAGTGTTTTTTTTTAAGCTGAAAGTAAATATTTTTTAAATAATATGTAAATTTAATTGAATAAAGATATGTACAAACTTTCTTATATATGAAAAAATATTTTATTTTTGCTGTAAAAATATCTTTTACATATTTACATAAAAATAAATGAATTGTGTTCTTTATTTATATATTTCAATAAATACAAGTACAAAAAAAGTTAATTCTGTATTTTTTGGAGAAATCTTTTTGATAAAATTTACTCAATTTTTTTATAAATGAGACAAAAAATATATTTATACAATAATAAAAAATATTATATATATATATATATATATATATATATATATATTATTTTTTACATTTTAAATAATATTATTAGAATGTTACAAAAAGTAGAATGGATGAGATCTGAGCTACATACAACTTGCAAAATTGATATTTCCAAAGTTCACGCTTCCCAACAAAGTTGTTATGGATTGGGATGCCCGTCATCATTTCTTGTCCAACTCTACTTGCGTTTGGAGTTTGGACTATAGCTTTGCTGTTTTTTTCTTTTTTGGTAATCATAGCCCTGTTTTTTTTGTTTTTTTTAATATAACTCAAGGAACCTGTTTTATCTCTATCAACAAAATCTTTTACCACGAAATCTGTTTCAAGGAGCCTCTTTTATCTCGGAATAGTATTATTTTGTCACGTTTGGCAAAAAAATTTATCAAACAATCATGTCAACAGTAAATTTTATCAAAATGCCACGCGGCATATTTCGTTACACAGTGTAGCGAAATATGTCATGTCAGAATGCACAGTCAGCAAAAAAAAATGACACGTGTCAAGCAGGCAGAAATTCGCTACACTGTGTAGCGAATTATGCTTGAATTTTGCCTGCTTGACACGTGTCATTCTTTGCTGACTGTGCATCCTGACATGGCATATTTCGCTACACTGTGTAGCGAATTACTTGCAAACATATTTCGCTACACAGTGTAGTGAAATATGTCGCGTGGCATTTTGGCAAAATTTACTGTTGGCGTGGCAGTGTGGTAAATGTTTTTGCCAAGTGTGGCAAAATGGTCACTCTTCCTTTTATCTCTATCAACAAAATCCTGTTAACATGTTTAAGAAACTTAATTATCAATCAATTGTGTTGAGCTTTGTTGGTTAATTTTATTTTCGTTACTTATATTTAGGGGTGTAAATGGGCCAGGCTGGCCCAGCCCAGCCTACGGCCCGGCCTACATTAAGCCCAGCCCAGGCTCGGCCTTTCAGAAAAGTAGAGTAGACTTAGGCTTATAAAAAAGCTTTTTTAATAAATAGGCCATAGGCCAATTTTGTCAAGCCCGGCCTACAGCCTTGTAGGCTGGCCTATTTAATTTATGAAAATAAAATAATAAAATAATATTTATTTTATGTAGCAAAGACACAAAGTACTAAATACCAATATCTCTTACTTTTTGTGCTATTTTATTTTATGAAAGAAAAACTTGTCTAATGTCTCCAAATTTTACATGCTGTTGCAGCTTAATACCATGGAGCAATGGGTACCTTGCTGGATTATGATGTTACTGATGAAGATCTTTCAATAATACTCTTCTTTCCCTTGTCTTGATGGTGGTTTAAAGATTTTTAAATGAATGACATTCTCTTGTAGACTTTATTTCAGCATCCAGTAATTGTATTTTTCTTATTTTTCTCATTTCTTTGACTTTATTCCTCTATGATATACATTCTAGAGCTGAGGTATTATGTTGACTCTTTCTTGTTTGTCATCTTTTTCTTATGAGAAGTACTAGTGCATGGATGAATGAAACTTTCTTTGCTCTATACAATTTATTTTTTTTGCTTAGTATATATAGTGGGAAGCCTACAAGGCCTGTAGGCCATGTCAGGCTTTCTTATTTTTGAAAATGGGCCGGGCTTGGCCTACAAATAAAGCCTTTAATAGGCCAGTAGGCCAGATAGGCTAGATTTTTTTTTACGTAGGCTTGGGCCAGGATGGCCAAAGCCCAGCCCAGCCCAGCCCATTTACACCCCTACTTATATTGCTGTTTCAGCACTTCTCTCTCTCTATATATATTTCAGCAAAAGAAAAATTCTATATCACTCGGGATAGGTTATTCTACCTACTCCCTTCTTGCCTATCTTTTGCCTACCCTTTCATCACCGTTGGATTACAATATAATCCAACGGTCCATAATTGCGAAATAAAATAATCTTTTTTTTCCTTTCTCTCTCCTCACTTCCTCCCACACCCTTTCTCTCTTCCTATGCGATCCGGACACATCCTTTTGATCTCTCGATATCTTTTTTTTTTCCTTGATCCCTGATCTCCACCGAGGTGAACGCGCGGAAGCATTATGCGATTCATCGACCACAACATTTGAAATCATAATTTTCACGTAACATTAAAAAATGAACATATAATGTTTTTCATAGTTTTGAGATATGTTTTGAAATGAGGCAAAAAAAATAAAATATTACTATTTTAATAAATAATTACGAATACATAGCTGTTTCGAAACTATCTACGAATTTATTGCACTCATTCACGCCCGAATTAGGTGTCACTATTCACACCCAAATTAGGCGTGACTCCCGAGACATTCACGCCTAATTTAGGCGTGAATCATCTGGTGTTGACACCTGGCAAAAAAAGTCAACTTACGAACCGCAAAACTTTGGAAAGCCATAACTTTTGACTCGGGTATCCGAATTAGGTAATTTTTTTTTGATTCCACATAACTTTTCGAGATCTACACAATGACATCTCATTTGGTATATTTTATCTCTCACAAACACAATTCAAATTTGCAATAATTGTATTATATAGTGTATTACCAAAAAAAATTAAAATATTATTATTAATAAGAAAAACAAAATAAAGATTTAATTTGTGATTTAAACTCAAAAATAATATGAAAAATCTGTATTAATAAAAAAATTAAATAAATATTCTAAACACTTGGTAAAATATTATATCAATTTGTATATATTTTAATAATTAAATAAATAACATTGTACACTATTTTTTTTCAAACACTTGGTAGAGGCAAAAAAATTAAAATATTACTTTTTTAATAAATAATTACGAATAAGTTGCCATTTTGAATCTAATTACGAATATATTTCACTCATTCACGCCCAATAATGGTACCATAACATTAAATTCAAAATTCAAATTTGGGCGTATTTGCGTGGAACCAAATACGTATTTACGTGAATGAGTGAAATTTATACGTAAATAATTTAATAATTTATACCCATGTCATTGTGAGAGATAAAAGTTATGTGGAATCAAAAAAAGAATTAGCTGATTCGGATACCCGAGTCAAAAGTTATGGCATTATGATATTTTACGGTTAAACTATTAATATTTTGTGCCACGTGTCAACACCATACGAGTCACTCCTAATTTAGGGGTGAATGCCTTGGGAGTCACGCCTAATTTGGACGTGAATAGTCACGCCTAATTTGGACATGAATGAGTGCAATAGATCCGTAGATAGTTTCGAAACAGTTATATATTCGTAATTATTTATTAAAATAGTAATATTTTAATTTTTTTGCCTTTGAAATGAAAAATGTATAAATTATTAATCATATGTATTTCTTGGGTTTAGTTGATGGGTTAACGGGTCTTGAGTTTTAAATTTTTTGGACTATGATTGGAAAAAGGCTCAAGTAAGTAAAAGGAAATTAATATATTGGATCGATTTGGATTAGATCAGTTTTTTCAATCAAACAGAAATTCGATCCAATCCAATTAAAATTAGTATTTTTAATTTTAATTTTTGATTTTTCAATTTGGTTACCACGATTTGAATTGGTTTGAACACCCCTATATTTGACTTTCGTCTTGCATAAATAATATTTTTGGTTGTTGGTTATCCTATCCTATCATTTGAGATTTCAAACACATTCATAGGTTATGTGTAGTATTTGAGTATTTGCTATCATATATATAGAGAAAAATAAAACAGGTGATGCATAAACAATGTAAAAAACAATGTATAAATAACATTATTCAAATGTTAATTAACTTTCACTAATATTTTTCATGCTCATTGGAAAAACACAATTCCAGTAAAATAAATTAAATAAATTAAACCAATATGATTCGTTCAATAAAAAATAAATAAAATTAAGAAATTCTCAATGTCAGTGATGGCTTATTTTGTAAGATGATATATTTTTTTTTGAAATCTTTTATTTATTTGTGGTAATTGATAAAATAATTCTTGTGTGATAGAAAAGTCATGGATTTATATCTAACAAAATAATCTCTTTGAAAAATATCAAATTTTTATGGGGGTATTATTTTATTTTATTGGGATCTATTAATCTCATGTTGCATGAGATAATTATCTAATGCAACAGAGACAAGATAGTGGGATCCACTACTTTTTCGAAAAAAGAAAAAATAGTAGAACCTACTATTTTGTCTCTGTTACATGAGATAAGTATTTCCCTATTTTATTTAAAAAAATTATTTCAACCCAGGAATGAAAATAAAAAAGATAAAGATAAAACCACAACATATTCAAAACCAGTCCTTTCAGCTCAATATGTGTTTGTTCAAACATATGTTTTTTAAGTTAATTAAAATGAGGTTGATGAGAGATTAAAATGAGGTTGATGAGAGACATATTTATATTTGAGAATGGTTAATGACTTAATGCCACGATTTCTCCTCGCATTTTTATTTTCCAATTTTAGGGTATCACGAACCCTCTTTGCTATATTCATAGGATTTGTCATGTGATTTAATTCTTGTCCACCAAAATCTCATTCCCTTCGTATAAATAAGGAATCTATTAATCTCATGTTGTATGAGATAACAGAGACAAGATAGCAGAGTCCACTGCTTTTTTGAAAAGGGAAATAATTTTCTTATGTTGTAGGAAAATGCTTATCTTATGTTGTAGAAACAAGATTGTAAGTGGGATCCATAAGTAAGAGGAGAGAGAAAAAAAAAGAAATGGGACCCACCTAGCTTGTGTGTGTAGGAAATGTAGTTATCTTATGTAAAAGTAGATAAATATAACCCTTTTGAAAAATAAATAAATAATGAATCTTACTATTTTGTCTCTGTTACATAAGATAATTATCTTATGCAACATGAAATAATTATTTCCCTATAAATAATCATCTATCTAAGAAGGTAAAGAATATCTTTATCCCATAAGAAAGTAAATAATATGTACCTAGACAAAGAAGCCACCAATAAAATACATTATATACGCTGTTTAAAATGTATAAGTTGTTGTTCTTTGTGAACAAGTTCCTCTGCATTCAATAAATACTAATTCTTAGTCATTTATAAAATAAAAATTATAAGTGATTTAGTAATATACAAACTAAAATAAATTATAATTATTAAATTAATATTAATTAATATTTCCCATCGACATAAACTAATATTTATTGACTGACAAAACACCAGTCAAGCCAAATTGCGATAACACTTGCATTTAATTTTCTTTTCATTTCCAATATTCAAGAAACTTCTCCTTCTCATATCTAGATTCTTTATTTTATTAATGATATATGATGCTGTCACATAAAAAAACCCAAATAAATTTATTTTAATTACTTGAAATAAAGGTTAGCTCACTCGCAAGATCAGATCCATGATTCTTTATAATAGGGAGCGGAAATAAAATTTCAAAATTAGAAATATTATTAAGACAAATACGAGATACTAATATTATAAATATTTTTTAAGGAGATGTTAACCTATTATCATTAAAAAATATTTTTTTATATATAAAATTAAATTAAATTAAATTAAAATTTAGGAAGGGGCGGCCACCCATACTCGCCTTTCCCTCAACCCACCTATGCGTAAGGTGAATTTTTCTACAAACACCAAATTCACAAGAAAATTCTTAAGTTTTTTTTAGATAAACTATAAGTATCATTTTCAGGAAGCAATCATATTCGAGTCAGGAATATTCACATAATTATGAGGCTAACTTTCTCAAAGAATTTTTTTTGCATTTACAAGAATTTGAACGCAAAATCTTGCTTAAGCGAAATCAAATATATACCACTTGAATCAATCTTATTATGTAGAAAGTTTATAAGTTCATTTAAAACATTTACAAGTATATTGTGTAATATACGAAAAGTTTTCTGTTTGAAATTTTATTAAACATAAATTTAATTAGGATAGTTAATAAAAAAATGCGTACAATAACGTAATCAATTTGTCTATGATTTTAAAAAATAAATTACATGTACCAAAAAAAATAAAAATAAAAATTACAAATATTTGAAAATTTGAATTTTTTAAAAATATGCAAAATTAATAAAAAATTAAATTCTGCAAAAATATAAACAAAAATATTTTAAAAAGTAAATAAGAGATTTTTTTTTAAATTTGATGTATAAAAGCATATACTTAGTTTCAATTAGCACAGATGTATGAAAAAAAAATTTCAATTAACACACAAAAGTAACATAAAAAATAGTCTTATTGAGAAAAAATAATTTCTATTAATTTGGATTCATTATTTATTTTGCAAAATCTAGACGTGTAGAACAACAACATTTACTTTCCAACGAATAAAAAAGTCCGTATAAAAAACCAAGAGCTGGCGTATCACCATAGTTTTGTAGACATTTTAATTTGTTGGTGCTCAGCAACTACTCAATGTGAGAACTTTTTCACCATACACGCATGAATTTAAGGTAGGAACAACTTTTATCAACAACTCAAATTGTTTGTACAAAGTCTTACATCATTAGTCCAAATAAATTAAGTTGATGCTAAAATCGATTCCTAACTTAAGTTTGTGTATATATAATAAAAATTCTCACATCCAGCAGTTCACGAGCATCAGTGAATTGAGATATCTATAAAATTAATTGTATTGTTGCTTCGTCAATGACGCAGAAAGTCTTAATTATCTATCAATTGTTTCAGAGCTAATGAAGTTATTTATTTGTTAATTTTATTTGTTGCGTGGAAATCCCTTTATTATATTATTTAATTAATTAGTTCAATTCATACTTTAAAATTAGAGTAAAGTTATTGTCCTTTTAAAAATTTAAATGACACAACTTATCCACTATCACAAAAAGATTTTTGCTTATCCACTTTCTTCCCACGATCTATTTCTTTCTTTTACGACACAACTTCACCTCCAATGATACACATATTTCTCTTAAAATTATTAACCAGATTAATTGATAAGTTTTCTTTTTTTAATTATTTACAAATAATCAGAAATTAAATTCTGCTAATATAATTTTCAGGATGATTTTTAAAACATTGTTCTGTATCTGAAATCTGAAAAAGTTAAATAAAGAATGTATCCCTGTTTTTACCGACATGTTCCATACATACACGGTGAAAGCAGAGAGTGTGTGTGATCCATCAATAAAGCCACGCTACCAACTTAACATCAAGTCAGTGAAAGGTAAAACCTTAAAATCTAAGTTTAAGCTCATACAGAGAGAGAGAGAGAGAGAGATATGAGCGAGGACCCGAAAAAGAACATTGGAGGTGCTGTAATGGCGAAACCCAACTTCGAAGATCGAAAGGCATCATCACTATCAGGCTCACCAGTTCCTACGAAGAAAGTGATAATCAAGAGTGCTGATATGCTCCCCGACATGCAAAAGGAGGCCGTTGATATCGCCGTAGCCGTTAGTCCCATCCCATCCATTTCTTTTCTTTTCTTTTCTTTTCTTTTCTTTCTTCTTTTTCTTAATTTAATTTTTTTCCACTTATAATTGATGTTTCCTTTTTTTTTTTTTTTTTTTCTACACAATCAGGCCTTTGAGAGGCACAATGTAGAGAAAGATGTTGCCGAGAATATAAAGAAGGAGTTCGATAAGAGGCATGGACCCACTTGGCATTGCATCGTTGGTCGCAATTTTGGTACTCTTTTTCTCCACTTTCCCATTTGGGTTCACTCAGATATTTTTTATTTTCTAATCTTAATTTCTCCTTAGTAGTTACTCTGGCTGGGGCATGGTCGCATGGACATGGGATTCTTATTTGCTTTAAATGGAGTAGATCTAAGCTTAATTTAGTCCTTGTTTACTTCAAATTATTGATTTGGTGCTGCAAATGCTATTTGCTTTTTTTCATGGTTGTAAGTTGGATGTAATGTTGAAAACCTAGAATTTTTTTATTTTTTGGGTTGCATTTGGTTTCATAGACATTATTGCCTTCTTTAATCTTTATGTAGTATATTCTGTGTGAATGATTTCACCGTAGGCAGGTGTTACCTTATCTGGCTTACTTTGACAATTTGCTTCTTAGTTACTTATTTACTGAGATGACAGTGATTTTGAGTTCCACTAACTCTTTAATGGGACCTCTTAAGCTATAGTACATGATCCTTTATCTTCTTTGTTAGTCTGGAAATTGTTGTCTTGAATCAATAGTTGCTGGTGGAGAGAACGATTAAATATAACATCAACTTCTTTATACTTACCTTTTACATGGGAACAACGCTATGTAAGTTTTTGACCCTCAAATCAAAATTGATAATAGTTCCCTATTAAACTCAAATGTGAAGTCGATACATGGAAGGTCTATCATGTTGGAGGAATTCTGCTTGGCTGGTTTTCTGTATCGACAAAGGAGGAAAACATATGATCTGTTGTTTAGATTAATAATGACTTTAGTGAGTTCTAGGCTTTTCAAGTTATTTCTACTTGGAGATCAGGAATTCAAGAGTGAAAACCTCAAGGCTGACATTTGAAAATGGTGCAGCTGAGTTTGATCATAGGACCACCTGTGGTTCTTGCATTGCAGGGGTCTTTCGTATTTTTTCCTCTTCGAAGAGTATCTAGTTTTGTCAGTTTATCATGCTAAAGTAGAGAGGCTCCTTTGAAGTATATATATATATATATATATATATATATATATATATATATATAAGTCCTGTTTGGTTTCTCCCTTAGTGAATAAAGAACATTTAGCTTGTTAATTTTCAATTACGTTAGTTGGGTGTGCTAGGGCTATAGCTGGTTTTTTGGGGAAGGAGTTGATCAGTTGAAGAACTTTTACGAGTGTTATTATCAAATTTAGTAGTTTCTATGATAACTACACCGAACCAGTTAACTGTTTTCCAGATTGTTCCTTTGCAACATACAACATTTTGTTGTTTACAACTTTATGAGAATATCCAAAGTGCAAACATCATGGTAATGCATACAAGTGAGTATGATAAAGATTTAAGGTTGAGTTAGTTTGTGGCCTCTTTATGATTTTCAGCTTTTGAGCTTTTAGGGACATTAATTAGACAATTAGTTGATATTGATATTGAAGCAGAATGGAGAGCTCTTTACTTTCAGGGATAGTAATTACTGTTTTTATGTTTTCACCTCGTTTAAATTTGTTTCATGAAAACAAATAAAAGTGTTTTATTTGGGTTCATCAACCGACAACCCCAACTAGTTTGGACTTTGGAATAAAGGTGATGTTGAAAACAAATAAAAGTGTAATATATCACTCAAAGTGTACATTCAACATTGCGGACTAGAACAACTCGGTGTGTTGATTTGCTAAATGAAAAATAATGCATCTAAGACAGTAGGATTCGTACTTTTCATATATTTTCCAAGAGTGATGTACTATTCAGCATTAACCAATATGCTTTTTGATTTTTATGTGGAAAAGAAAGTCCATTCTGAATCTCTTTACTTCTTTAATAGTGTGTGTATTAAGTTTCAAAATCCAAAATCTGCCTTGGTAATTTATACTCCTTCCATTGTGCACACACGGCCTGAACTATTCTTAAACATGCAATAGCATGAGTAGTGACTTAGATCAATGGAGCTATTTGCTGAACTTAGGAGTCTGATAATATTATGATACGGACCACCAAGAATACGGAAGAATAATAATAAAACACAGCTATTTGGGCCCAGAAGAATCTGGATTTTCTTATATATTGACTGAAGAAACTGAATTACAAGAAGAAATGGAACTACAGTATTTAATGGTAGAAAAATAAGGCTATTACAGAAATCAACTAAAGCTTAGTGTAGTAACTATAAAATCCCAGCACATTCGAGAGGTGCTGAAGCTCTCCCAAGGACCATTCTCTATTTCCAAATTCCAGATACCCCATGCACGTTCCCACTCCCATTACTTAACCTCCATTGTGTTGTGCCCCTCCATTCAGTTGTAACAAACTTGCTGAGTCATCATTTGTTGAGCTTGGAGTAGCATAGGTAGTGAGGCTTGGGTTTGGATCATCATTGGCCGCATAATTTGGGCTTGGATCAGCATAAGTTGGAGCCCAAACTTTTCTATTTTTGTCTCTCTTGTACACCCTATTGGGCTGGGGCTTATCAATACTCCCCCCCAATTTAAGTACCTTGTCCTCAAGGTGGAAGTGAGGGAACTGTTGGTGGATGACATCAAAGGACTCCCAAGTATTTTCAAACTCGGGTAAATGACACCATTTGAGCAGAACTTCCAGCTTGCCCTTGTTGGATCGCCTCCATTGAACCAACTTTTCAGGTTCCACTATGAGCTCCCACCCTTCTGTCAGCATGGAAGGCAAGGGCTGAGCGTTCGTAACAGGTGTAACTGCCGGCTTAAGAAGAGATACATGGAATACTGGATGGACCTGGCATCCTGGAGGTAATTGGAGTCGGTAGGCAGCCTCCCCAATCCTCTCCACAATAGGGTACGGACCATAGTATCTTGGGCTAAGTTTTTCATTAACTCGCCTAGCAATAGTCTTGAGTCTATAAGGTTGTAACCGTAGATAAACTAGGTCACCTGGGCTGAAATGAACGTCTCTCCTATGTTGGTTGGCATGAATTGTCATTCTGTTTTGGGCCCGAACCAAATTCTGTTTTAAATCTTGCAAAACAGTATCCCTCTCGGACAGGGAACGAGAAATAGCATCTACTGCAGAGGAGTAGCTATCACACCGGAGCAGATGAGGAGGGTCGGTACCGTATAAAGCCTTGAAAGGGGTCATGCCTGTGGCATCTTTGTAGGTAGTATTATACCAGAATTCAGCCCATGCGATCCATTTGGGCCATTGCTTGGGTTTAGGACTGCAGAAGCATTGCAAGTATACCTCTAAGCACCGGTTAACCACTTCCGTTTGACCATTCGTTTGCGGGTGGTAAGCGGTACTGTAATGTAGTTTAGTACCTGCACTTTTGAACAATTCAGTCCAAAAAGCACTAAGAAAAACCCTGTCACGATCAGAAACAATAGTCAGTGGGAATCCATGAAGCCTCACTACCTCTTTGATGAATAATTCAACGACCTCCTTTGCTGTGTATGGGTGCGTGAGGGGCAAAAAATGGGCATATTTTGTTAGACGGTCCACAACCACAAAGATTGTATCAAAACCCATGGCTTTGGGCAGCCCCCCAATAAAGTCCATAGAGATATCAGACCATACCTTCACAGGGATGGGCAATGGCTGCAAAAGGCCGGCGGGGGTCAGATTTTGGGCCTTGCTTTGTTGGCAAACTATACAAGCAGCCACGTAATCCTTGATGGTTCGTTTCATCCCCTCCCAATAAACCAAGTTAGCCAGCCGCTTGTAGGTTCTGAAAAAACCCGAATGTCCTCCAAAACTCGAGTCATGGAATTCTTGAAGCAAAATAGGGATGAGTTTGGAAGTTTTAGAGACAACCAGCCTATCATTGTAGAACAGTCTGCCCTCCTTCAATTTAAACCCTTGATGAGCAGTGCTACCAACCAGTAAGTCTTGTAAAATAGCCCTCAATTTGTTGTCAACTTGTAACTCTTGCTCCAGCTCTTGTAACTCGGGCAGTTGTAACCTGGTGATGCTGGCCATATGCATTTGCCTAGAAAGGGCATCAGCAACGTGATTCTCCTTACCCGGATGATATTGAATTTCAAAATCAAATCCGAGTAGCTTCACAGCCCACTTTTGCTGGTCTTCATTTAAAACTTTTTGATCAGTGAGAAACTTCAAACTCTTTTGGTCAGATTTAATTATAAAATGCCTCCCCATCAGATAATGCTTCCATTTCTGTACTGCGAATACTATAGCCATTAACTCCTTTTCATAAATGGACTTTGCCTGTGCCCTTGGAGAAAAACCTTGACTCAAAAAGGCCACTGGTCTATTGCCTTGCATTAAGACGGCCCCAATGCCTTTGCCTGAAGCATCAGTGGTCACAGTGAAGGGCTGAGAGAAATCTGGCAATGCCAAAACCGGAACAGTAACCATCTTCTTCTTGAGCTCTTCAAAAGAGTGCGTTGCTGCCTCACCCCACTGAAAGGCATCTTTCTTTAATAAATCCGTCAGAGGTTTTGCAACTTTTCCATAATCTTGCACAAACCTCCTGTAGTAACCTGTGAGGCCCAAAAAACCTCTCAAACCTTTGATATTTTTGGGTGCTGGCCATCTTGTCATGGCGTCAATCTTACTAGGGTCAGCACTTACCCCTTCAGCCGATATGATATGCCCCAAGTACTCCATGTGGTCCCTGCCAAAACTACATTTTTTTTTGTTGCACACTAAGGAATTAATCCGCAGCACCTTAAAAACCTGAATCAAATGTTCCACGTGCTCTTCGCGGTTCTGGCTGTATATGAGTATGTCGTCAAAAAATACCAGTACAAATTTTCTCAGAAATGGGCCCAATACGTCATTCATCAGGGCTTGAAATGTGGATGGGGCGTTTGTTAACCCAAAGGGCATCACCAAGTACTCGTAATGCCCTTGATGCGTCCTAAACGCTGTCTTGGGTATATCTTCTTCACGCATTCTGATCTGGTGAAACCCAGACTTCAGATCAAGTTTAGAAAAAATGGAGGAGCCCCCAAGCTCGTCCAACAACTCATCAACCACCGGAATAGGGAATTTATCAGGGATAATCAGCTTATTCAGGGCCCTATAGTCTACACACACCCTCCAACTCCCATCTTTTTTTTTAACTAAAATCATTGGGCTGGAGTAAGGACTAGTGCTATGCCTTATCATGCCATCACTAAGCAACTCGGCAACAAGACTTTCAATTTCGGATTTTTGGTAATGGGGATACCTGTATGGCCGTATGTTGGGCACCTGACTTCCTGACTTCAAATTGATGGCATGGTCATGACTCCTGCTCGGTGGCAGTCCCCTTGGCTTTTGGAATATATCCTCAAATTCTGCAAGCAGCCTCTCTAGCTCCACCCACTAAATGTTGCTCCTTTCATCTTCTCTGTCATCAGTCTTCAGGTAGAATCCTTGGCCATGGTCTTGGAGAGCCTTTACAATGGATTTCAAAGAGACCACAGAACGGGATAGTGCTGGGTCTCCCCTGATTGTAACTTCACGACCTTCTCGAACAAACTTCAGTGTTAGCTCCTTAAAATTGGCCTTAATTTCTCCTAATTGGGTCAACCATTCCAACCCCAACACGACATCAGAGCTCCCCAATTCGAAAAGGTAAAAGTCTTGAGTAACCAGTGAACCCTGAAGCAGAATATCCACCCCCTTACAGACCCCTTGACAGCTGATCTTGTGGCCGTCACCCACCACCACGTTGTAAGCAGTGGTCTCTGTTATGGGCAGACCCAATCTCTCTGCCACCTCCCTTCGTACAAAATTGCTTGACGCTCCACAGTCGACCATCACTGTGACGTCCGTTCCCAGAATTTTTCCCCACACCTTGAGCGTCTGGCTCGAAGTGATACCCAACAAACTATGCATGGAAAGTTGTAGGGCCACGTCCTTGTCTCCTTCACCCCTGACTTCACCAACGATCATCGTCGCTACCGCCTCATGGTCTTCTACCTTGTCATCATCTTCTTCGTCGACTATCAGCACATGAAGTTGTCGAAATTTGCACCGATGGTTGGGGTTCCACTTCTCGTTGCACTTGAAGCAAAGACCCTTCATATGACGATCCCTCATCTCCGCCTGTGAGAGACGACGGTTGTTGCTCCCTTGACTCTCCGTCATCGGACCCCCACTGTCGGTGCCAGGTATTTTCGTGGTCGACTCTCTCTGTCCGTCGTCATTTGGTGCCCTAGAAATTTGGGGATCTGGATTGTTCTGATTAAATGAATTTGGTGAGTTATTAACCCGACCCGGGTTGGATGGGTTATGTGAACCCGAACCACCCCAGCTGCCATTTCGATTGGAGCTGGCCCAACCGCGTTGGGCTTGACCTCCTTTTCCAGGCCCAGTCCAACCGAGCCTTCTCCCTGCGCCAACCTCTTCTTCCCTCCATGCGTCGTTTCTCCTCTCGATCTTCAGGGCATATTTCATCATCTCAGTCAGGCTTATACCTGGGTTCATCATCAGTTCCTCCCTAACGCTGCTCCGAACTCCGTTAAGCCACGCCCCCTTCAACAACTCTTCATCCTCGAAACGCAACGCTCCAATTACCCTTTCGAACTCAGTTCGAAACTCAGCCACCGTTCCCGTTTGCTTAAGGGTATAGAGAGCTCTGTAAGGGTTGTCAAGAGCATCAGGCTGAAACCGGCTCAACAACTCCCTACGAAAAAACTCCCAATTCGCACTGGGGTTGTTTATCTCCCACCAAAGGTACCATTGCAAAGCTTCCCCTTCTAGCGTCACCATCACCGCTGCCAATTTCTCTCCCTCGGCTATTCCATTGATGCTGAAGTACCTCTCTACTTTATTAATCCACCCATACGCGTCATCGCCACAGAATAAAGGGATGTCTAGCCTTCTGGACATGGGAGGAACCGTGTTGAACCTCCTTCCTGGTGCTTCCCTGTTGGAACCATCATGCTCTTCATGAGAGCCACTTCTCCATCGTTCCGCCATTTCATCTAACCTCCGGATGATCTCCACAACTCCCGTCTCACTCGCGTCCATCCTCCTGAGTATTTCATCGTTTTGAACTTCGTTTCTGCGCAGCCGTTCTTCCATCAATTCGATTCGGTTCTCCATGTTTCTTGTGACTACCATCCCACAGAGCTCCTAGATCAGAGCTCTGATACCAGTTTGATACGGACCACCAAGAATACGGAAGAATAATAATAAAACACAGCTATTTGGGCCCAGAAGAATCTGGATTTTCTTATATATTGACTGAAGAAACTGAATTACAAGAAGAAATGGAACTACAGTATTTAATGGTAGAAAAATAAGGCTATTACAGAAATCAACTAAAGCTTAGTGTAGTAACTATAAAATCCCAGCACATTCGAGAGGTGCTGAAGCTCTCCCAAGGACCATTCTCTATTTCCAAATTCCAGATACCCCATGCACGTTCCCACTCCCATTACTTAACCTCCATTGTGCTGTGCCCCTCCATTCAGTTGTAACAAACTTGCTGAGTCATCATTTGTTGAGCTTGGAGTAGCATAGGTAGTGAGGCTTGGGTTTGGATCATCATTGGCCGCATAATTTGGGCTTGGATCAGCATAAGTTGGAGCCCAAACTTTTCTATTTTTGTCTCTCTTGTACACCCTATTGGGCTGGGGCTTATCATATTATGAATAAGCCAATCCAATAATTCTCCAATGTAGCGAAACTGGGTATGTCATTTTTTTTATAAGGTGTCCTCTGGAGCCCTGGTATTTTGAAGCCGCAAAGATCAATAATGATAATCATATGTATTCATTATTTTAAATAATTTACACTTGAAAAGAAGGGATTTAAATGTTGTCTTTTGATGCCATCCTGGACAGGCCTTGAGAAATTTATTGCAAATTGTATAATAGATGAAAGATATAGATAGGTCTGAAATGTTCACATGCCACATTATAATATCCTTCTGGTTTGTCAAAATGTGACTTCTTTTTCTCCTGAACTTTACTCATGTTTTCTATTTTTAGAGGTTAGAATTAGTAATATGAATGGATATAATTGTCTTTGTTATTTTCATGTTGAAGTACATTGACCCTCGGGCATTCAACCACCGTCATTGGAATCCTAAACACCCTTTTATATGGTGTTAATGAGTTTTAAATGGCAACTAAAATGAAAGGCACAAAATTATGAAAATGCCACTGGAATTAAAAAAGAACGAAAAATCCTAAAACGACGCAGGCATTAAGAATGCACAAACGATTCTAAACCAACTCAAGGTGTATTAGATTAGCCTATGATATTCTTCTTGTTAGTGTTGTAATGTTTACAATGACAAACACAGATTATAATTGAAGCGTGTTCATGGACTTTTCTTTCATTTTGCAGGTTCATATGTGACTCATGAAACAAACCACTTTGTCTATTTTTATTTGGATCAGAAAGCAGTTTTACTTTTTAAGTCTGGCTAGCCATAATCTGATGGTGACAAAAAGGTTAACAGCTACAGGAGTTGTCTTGTGATTATGCTGCTATATTAACTCTTGTATGTATTAAATCCACTGGCAACGCAAACTCTTTGCAGGACATTCTTGTGTTTGTATATCCAATGTCATGGAAACTGGTTCTCAAGTTTGGATATGAATCATATTCTTAATCTTTGTGTTTCCCCTTGTGTTCTATATCATTTGTTTGTTTTGAGAATTTTTGTTTGCTATTTCTTGAAGTTTATCTTTGTTCCGAGTGTATTATCATGTCAAATATTTGGTTTTTTCAGATCATAAAAGCTTTGTGTGTTCATTGTGTCAAATTAACATGGGACACTAGCTAGGTCTCGAAGAGTGGTTTCTCCTTAATCCTTGTTTGATAAATGTGATGTTGCAAAGGGTCTATTAGTGAAAATGTGTGGTGTTAACTGCTTGAAAAGCTCGTTATGGTGCTTTTGCTGCTTGGTAGAGAAGTTCTAGTATGCTTTTGGCTTGGTATAATTCTACCAAATAATTGGTTGTCGATATAAGAATTGTAATAATAATTAAGGCTAAAGAAGCAACTAACTTAGTATCCAAGAATGTTAAAGTTCCTCGCTGCTCTTTGATTTCTTAGTACTGGCAGCATATAACTTGAAAGTAGAATTTATCATTTGTTGCCTTTGCTGTGGTGTTGTTGACGATCTTTATGGAACCATTACTATTATATATCTATTTATTCAAATAGATATGACTGAGTCAAATTGTTACTCCTGTATTTAATTTCGTGGTTATCTGTAAGTTTGTTACTTAGTTAGTTAGTTGCCTAGCTGGCAAGTTAGTTAGTTGGTTAATAGGTTCATTAGCTCTTTTCTGTTTTACTCATGTAATGCAGCTTATATATAAGCTGATTACTCTTACTTTATTAATCAGATTTCATTTTTCCCTTTTTACTCTGCTATGAGATCATTAGTATTCTCTCATTCTGATAATTACTTCATTAAGGACACAGCTTTGCTGCTAGCATCAGTTTTTAGGGTTTAAATTGGGGGTGGCCTACGGTAAAAAGAAAAAATAAGGAACAAAACACGTCGCTTCTCGTTCATTAATTTGAGAAGGCTGCCTTTCGAATCAATGGCAGAAAAAAGGAGTAAATGATGGTGGGTGTGGAAATGATTCACTAAAATCATTCACATGGCCATATGTATATGTTGTGAAAAAGAAAAAGAAAAAGAAAAAAAGAGGTAGGAAAAAGTAAAGTGAATTCCTACTTCTAAATTTTGAAAAAGAGGTGAAATTAAGGACTCATGCAGATAATAAAGACAAAGAATTGGCAAATCCTATTTATTCCTATTACAATGTTTAATTGTCTCTATATGGTTGGTGCTCTTTCTGTGGTTCCCAGCTGTAACTATCAAGAACTAAACTGGCACATATGATAGTACAATTATAATATTCCATGGTTCTTATTCCTGACTCTGGCTATTCTATGCATTGGAGTTTGAATCTTGAAATTGAATATTTACATGTGCACCTTTCCAAACACCTATTTTGAATAATATGTAGCGTTTGAGCAATGTGATTCCAGAGTGCGTTGTTGCCGGCGGTGGGCCGCTGGCACTTGCGAAGTAGACCGGTATACGTTGTGCTACGGACATTTCACCAATAACAAATGCATGATCTTAAATGTTGCTTATTTCTGAGTTGTTTGTTGATAATCATTTAATGAGATGGATATATAATTTTTATTTGAAATTGTACCAACCATTTTTCAAAGAATCTATCAATCATTTGAGTATAGTTTAATGACACATACATAAATCGTTTTCATGATCTGCATACTTTTCAAGCATCATATAATTAAGTTATATGATATTTTAAATATGAAAATCTTTCACTAATATATTTAAAGGCAAATACAATCTTAAATAGTTTCTTAAACTCAACTCAAATGATTGATGGGTTCCTTTAAAAAACGGGTGGTATAATTTTAAATAAAAGTTATACATCCATCTCATTCCATGATTCTCGATAAAGAACTTAGAAATAAGCAACATTTAAGTTCATTCATTTTTATTTTTATTTTTTTGGTAAAATGACCCTAGCATGAAGTATACCGGTCAACTTGACAAAACTAAAAAAAAAAACTATCTGTTAAATAAAAAGAAAGCGTATAGTTTTGAAGTCTTTTTTTTTTTAAAAAAAAAAAATTATTTAGTCAGTTATAGGAAAGGTGACATTTTGTGATCTAAATGATTAATAGTAGATGTGTCGTTCTTGTCGTTTAAAATAATGTCCAAATTCCGCTCAAAATTCTTTAATGTGGTAGTATAGCTATGTCCTGAAAGAAAATCACAAAGACACTTATTATTGAAAATAGTTAATAGAAAAGGAAAACATACCCAGATACCCTTCCTCAAAGTATTTTTATGCAACCGCGGGTGGGGTCTGGTGTCTCCTATGACAGGTTTAGCAATTTTCTTCTCCTAGTATAATGAACAAAAGTTTTTAAATGAGAGGGTATGTGTAAAGGCAAAAAAATTTAATTATTGCATTTTAATTAAGTAATTACGTATTTATTGTTGTTTGAAAAATAATTACAGATGTATTGCACAATGTGACGTTCCTTTTGGACGTCACATGTGACGCCCACGTTCAGACGTCACACCCTCAAAGACAGACGCATCATGTGACTCCCAAAACATATTCTTATTACCCAGCTTTTATTACGATTCAAATAGTTATTCATTGCCTATAGAAATGCATGAACCGTCCAGGAACCTCGGCATTTGTGATAAAAGGTAGCAAGTAGCAAGAATCCACTAAAATCCAGGAATCAAAAATAATAACAGTAAATATTTTTTTTTGGTACTCAACAAATTTTACGATGTCCGATTTAGTTCTTAGCAAATAAAAAGGCTCATCGTGGTCCCTAAAAAATTCAAAATGGACCAATTTAGTTGAAATCGTGGTCCCTCACAAATTCAAAAAAGACCCATATTAGTCCTTAAAAAGATTAAAATGGATCCATTTTAAATTTTATAGGAACCACGATGGGCCTTTTTATTTGCTAGGGACTAAAACGAATATCGTAAAATTTGCTCAGGACCAAAAGAAATATTTACTCAAATAATAATCTCACCGTCCATCTCCTCGGCATTTGTAATAAATTCTTCCTTATCCACTATTAGTTTATAAAACTGTGTTTATAATCCTTATACAGGGGTTAAATTTTATTATTTTATAATAGAAATTAAGAATATCCTGCACTCCTTCAAGAAAGTTTTTTTTTAATTATTATTTTAAATATATACATTGTTTTCGTAATTTGGACACGGAAGTTACGTTGCATTGATACTGATATTACCACACTCCGATACATTAAATAATGTTTTGACACATTTCTATTAAGATTTTGACATGTTTTGATATTAAATAATATTTTTAATTTATGAAATATATATTATATTTAGAATAAAGTCTCTTTTGAGTCCCTAACAAAGTACGATTTCCACTTTTATTCTTTACAAAAAAAAGTTCATATTAATCTTTTTTTAGAGATTAAATTGGATCTTCGTTAAATTCTTAAGTGATTATATTTTCAAAGAACTAGAATTGTAGATGGGCCAAAAGTTGATTTTTTTTAAAAATTTTTGTAAGGGACTAAAATGAAAATAGAATTTTTTTGTTAGAGATCCAAAAGGGACTTTACTTTTATATTTAATATTCAATAATTTAAAAAAAGATTAAATTAAATTTAAATTTCTAATATCCATTAATTCTGCAAAGAAACCTAAAATATAAATATAGAACTTTTTTTTGGTAAAAGATATATAGAATTTTTTTTTTTTGGTAAGCAAGATATATAGAACTTTATTAATACATAGAGGGATCGCTAAAGTGTAAATAAATAAATAATTACTTCAGCTGTTTTTAAATCATAAGTTATTAAGATCACCAGCAATATTCAAGTATTTTCCGGAGTCCCAATCACAAAATAAACTGCGCTTGCGATTTAAATTTTGTCTTTCAACGTAGGAGAAGTCGAGACCCATAATATATTTAAACAATACTTCCTTTTCATTTTTTTATTGATTTTAAATTGTTCATTATAAGTATATACTTTTGCTTGATTATAATAAATTATATTTTAGTTTTATTTTTTTTGTAAACTCTTTAAATAACAAATTACAAAAATATAACTGTCGAAAACACAGAAAAAATAATTAAACAAAAAAATAATAAAATTATCACAAATGCCGAGGAGATGGATGGTGAGATTATTATTTTGGTTCCTGGATTTGAGTGGATTCTTGCTACTTGCTACTTTTATCACAAATGCCGAGGTTCCTGGACGGTTCATGCATAAGTGATGAATAACTATTTGAATTGTAATAAAAGCTGGGTAATAACTAATAAGAACATCTTACGTCTTTTTTGACGTCACATGTGATGTTCCATTGAGGCATTTCTTTTTGAGGGTGTGACGTCTGAATGTGGGTGTCACATGTGACGCCTAAAAGGGGCGTCACATTGTGCAATACATTTGTAATTATTCTCTAAACAGCAATAAATGCATAATTATTTAATTAAAATGCAATAATTAAAAAAAAATTTGCCCATGTGTAAATGTGAAATTGAAAAAAAAAATTACAAAAAAAAAACACTTACCTCAAAAACTGAAGATAAAGAGATCAAAAAAGATGAAACTCTCAATCAAAGAAAGATGAATCGAACTAAAATGAAAAAGATAAAATTGTACATAAATAAACCAACGTAAATGAATGAAAGATATATAGCTGAGAAAACTTATATAGGATCATTAGTATGAATCTTTTGTAATTTATAATTATCAAAATTTAAAATAATAGTAATTATGATTATGGAATTAAATTGCTATTAATTATTATATTTGATTAATTATATTAGGCATAGGTAATTACAATATTTGATTAATTCATTTAATTCGGTGCTATACATGTATTACATTTTAGTTTTATTATAGGTTTTAATGTTTCTACGGTGAATATAGATAAATTATCTACATTCACTCCCAAAGTAACGTCGTTTTGAGTTTAAAGATTAAAAAATTATAATAAAAAAGATTATTATATCTTAAAATAAATTATAATTACAAAAATATCTTGATTTTCGTCTCAAAATAACCTCATTTTGAACTCAATATAAATAACTTATCTACATTGACTGAAGAAAAAATGAACACTTTATTA